GGCTTTGGATGGATGGGCCGAAGAGATGGCTCTCCTGGTTAGCCTAGCCCTCTTGGCATCAAGATTGATTGCTCCCTTTGCTGGTAATCGCACGCGCAACGACCCCCCCAAACCCGCCTGGTCCACAGTATGGCTGTTGATCATTATTCTTCGCAAATTCTCCTGGAGGTAACCACCTATCCAGCTATCCTGTAGGGACAGGTAGAGTCTATGCTTCTGTAGATCATCGTCTATCATGCGGGATAGCGTTCGTGGTCAAACCTTTGCCCGGATTCCATGGTAGCGGGCTGATCTTCGCGCCATCATCGTGGTTAATCACGGCTGTCACGATACCCAAAACCCACAGTAAAACTCCATATTTACCGGTCGAGCGGCCACGCTAGCAAGTAATAAGCCAGTTACGCCGCCCCAACTATTCGCTACGTTAAATCTGGTCTTCGACGGCTCGAAACACCAACTCAAAGCTAGAGGTAAGGTGAAAAAGCTCGGCCCCGAAACTCCAGCGCGACCTCTACACGGTGAGAGCTGAACTTCAAACTCTTATTATAGCTCTTATTGTCATGTTTAACCTGAAGAGCTAGCTCGGCAGCAATCTTCCCCTCGCGCGCCAATCAACAGTTCCCAACAAGACGATCTCGAAAGATCTACGGACGGTCTATGCAAGAGGAGGAGAAAGTGGTTAGGGCTACCAAAGGCGGAACAGCCCCAACTTGTATCCAATTGGTTCTTGGAGGGACAAACGAATTCGAACCAGATCTCGACGCTAGGACCAGCTGCTAAATCATCTGCCAATGGGTGTGGTCGGGTCATATTGGACATCGGAATAACGTTAGGCTTGGATAGCCTCAACGTCATTTATGTGTGGGCAAACTGGGTTGCCCCGAAGAAGCCCTTGAGCGTATGAAGACCGCTTTTTGCTTGAATAGGGGCTAAAATGGCAATGCGGACTTCAACAAGAGCGAATTCGGCGCATTATCTGGGAAGCTTATGCCAGGAAAGCTGAGAAGGATCCGCCTATAACCTAGTTCGCTTACTATCGCCGCCGTTGTGCGCTATCTAGCCCTACGAATTGTCAATACGAGTCATCGTACGCGTGAACACAGCCGCAGCGGATCACTCGCCGAACTTCACAAGACTACTCCGGGCCGGCGCCTGAGTTCAATGGCAGATCCCCCCGTGCATTAAATCGCAGACTGCTTCGACACTGTCATGAGATTCGCATCTTGGCTGACCGAGTCCTACCCCTCTGATACCTAGAATCCAGGACGCCGAGCTGAACCCCCAGGTACCCGTATGTTCTTCTCAACAATTAGATGTCACTTGGTTTCTGCAGAGGTCCAGATACGTACGATTATGACGGCATCACTCACGGGCAACTCTCCACTCCTTGGACTGCTTCGTCGCAAGCTCTTTCCGTGGACTCTCTAGCCGAGCTTCACCGCTTGAAAGACGTTGCAGGCCATCAACTAAGATAGGGACACATCAAGAAAGGAGACAAGCCCGGTTGATGCCCATCGTCGATTTTTTTTTTTATTAATTTAATTATTACTGTCTAGATTGCTTCCCGTCTCGTCTCGAACTTACGGTCGGTCGACTTATTTCACCCAGACAAATCCTAGGGATTTGCAACGTGGTCGAACGCGACTGGAGTCGTCCTAACGTCAGGAACCGCGAATCTCTACTAGCGCTAGTTTCTGTACGATTACTGTTCGTAGGACGAATGAAATCGCTGTGGCACGCGGGAAACGACCGAATGTGTAACATTACCCTTCATCGAGCCATAGTCGAGGCCTCGTCTCCGTCAATCGAGACTCCTATAGCTCGCCATTTGATACACCTTATCTTGGAAAGCACCTCATCCCGTGTGTAACCGTGCAAAAGCGCCTTTTCGGGGCCGCCGCTGCGTCGGCCGTTGGGCTATGGCGCGATAGACGGTAGCCTTGCTTATCCGGGGGTGAACAATCTTCGGACCTTATCTTCGTTTATAATAACCGTCGAATGGGAACCGCTGGATAGGCCGTGGCACGCAAACGCGGGGGAGCGTCTGATTCGTCGAGACCTTGCGATACTTGGTTCCGTTAGATTGGGCTATAGCAACCCAATTGCAGTAGGGAGGTATTCTAGCATTTCGGCGAGGCTAGGCCAGCATGCTCGCATACTTCGGTATTCGGCGAGGGGGCTATATTGAGAGTCCTAAGCGCAACTGATTTGCTGGAAGGTAGGTAGGTGTAGAAGCGTCCTCTTCACCGCCTCGACGATATCAGTGTCTCAAGATGAGTCGCCTGTGGCCAAGTTTCGAGCATTTTATGCAGAGTTACAAATACAGCATTTGGAAGTAACTTGAGGCACATCACGTTACCATGGTCGTTAGGCTCAAATTTGCAAACAGGAGTGTCAATCGCAACCTCGGGTTATGGACTGCGACCGTCCCAGGCCCTAGGTGAGAGAAGAGCTACGGTAATTGAAAACGGCATAGTAACTGAGCACACCTAGAAACATGGGGTACGTCCGATATCAATGCGATGTAGAGAAATATGCCATTCTCATGATATTCCGAATTGAGACTCCGTCCTCGGAGGGATTCCCCCTGGTATGGGGGGAAGATCTCCCATTGTAACACTCCCACGCCGTAGAGCCTTACGTCTTGAAGTACCGCATTTTTGTGCACGGCGATCTACATACGACACTTTACAGCTTCTCTCCACGCCGAAACACGAGTTCCAAGGCAAAAGACGATCGTTTCCGCTTTTCCTTCCGGGCATGACCCAGTGGCGATAGTTGGAGAGCTCGCGGGACCGCAGGGTTGCATCCCCGGTGCGGTTCATGCATATATATGCATGCGTCCAAGCTGTACATCGCTGCACCGACGAAAAGACAAGGTAAGAAGGTCCTTGAGATAATTGCTTGTTTAGATGAGCGAAGACGAACTCCCCCCCCCCTCCCCACCGGTTAATAATACAGAAACGAGATCGAAAATAAGATGCACATGCAGACGATGACGACGTCTGCCGATATGCCAATCTGGAAACGTCGCCGGGGATTGTTACCAGCACATCCCTTTGGCCAATGGCCCGGGTTTTTCCACCCGAGGCTCTCCCCAGAGACCATCTATGAAACAAGCCTGCCGGACAACATCTGGAAGACCGATATGTTGATCCACGGCTCTACCCGCACGTATCAGGGCTCGTGACAGCCGTTTACCCATGAGAATATCACGGACAGCTAATACGGTCGATATTGCTATTGCGCAAACCGGGATCTGTGCGCAGGAGCTCGAGCATAGGCGCCGTCATCGCTACGTGAAGTACGTGAGGCGGATGGCGCCAAGACGGTTGCTGTTAAGCATAAATAAACGTCACTAACGGCGCCCTCGGTGTCTTTCGGCATCTCGATGACTTATGCTAGATCTGATTGTATTACCACCTCTTGTAGGCCACACGCACCCCACAGGCGAATGATGATTGCTGTGCTGCAGCCACAGCACACGTTATTGGCGGTTGGCATTTAGCAGCCGTCCCCCAGCAGCCACGGCACGAGACTACCGGCATTATAAACATGATGAATATCATGATTTTCTACTCCTTTGTGTAATGGGTTTTTCGAACGAGAGAAGTATCTTGCGAGACTTATAACTAGTTACCTTGGAGAGCCTCTTGGTCGAGGAGGATAGGGATCGAGTGAGCTACCACACACATTCAGGTATCATGTAAAGTGCTCTCGGGAAAACCCGGTTCGCTGCGTTATTATCTATCCCCTCACTCCTTGCAGGAATTCGCATGGCAGGCAGGCTTAGGAGACCTTAAGCTCAAATGGGAATTTAGGAATTTTCTATAATGCAGTAAGATTTTTATCCTTACCGTTGGGTCGTAAGGTCTACGGGGGTCTAGCTAGCTGCAATATAAGTTATAGTCAAATGATTCGTCGAGGCAACTTTGGATGCTTGCTGTTACATTGACATACTATCATGAAACTCATTGCTGGGCGATTCGTTAATAAGAGTATTTTGTGGTGCTTACCATGACTTAATGAGGTTTGTCTTATTCATTTTTCCGCAATTTCTGCAATAGGTAGCATAGTTGCATTTGAAACGTCGAATTTCTTTATTTCAGCCCTGCTGCTATTTATATCTACCAGAAGCATCTTGCATAATCTCGAGCAGGGGGGGTATAATGACAGAATGGGAACACTGCGGGATTTAGCGAATAGCTTCGGCTTTAACAGCTTACTCGAGGGGCTGCATTGACATCGCGATGGTAAGAGTATGGCGGAATGGATCTATATGACCTATCATAATGTCGGCTGTACGTACCGCATATACGCTTCCGTTCGCGTATGCTATAGACAGGATAGATATAGAAGTAATGCATGTGACAGGTTAAAGATGGATCTCTCTAACAGGGGCTCTCACCAAAGTTCCTTGTAACAGGCATGATATTAACCATGCTATCCCCACAAGTTAAATCCGGGGAAGCATGAATTCCGCAGCCGCAGATGGATCTGCGACGACGTATTATGTTGTCCATACTTAAGCTAAGAGGATTTCCGATAACCCGCGTTCCCATCGAGATTAAAATACGGAATATGCAAGGCCATTCATCTCAAGTTGATGAAAAGGAGGAAGCACGTACCTATGTGTGGGTGGGTACCCCTATGATAGATTAGGTGTCTCTAAGATGTGGTACATGTAGATGCACCTCTCCCACCGAGCTATTTGGGGCGGTTCACTCACGCTTGCCTGTGTACAATGTCTTAAAGCCTAGGACCAATAGCAAGAGCATCTCAATTGGCTTCCTTGGGTGCTTATCAAAAGATTCGAGGATGCGGACAGAATTACAGCCGAGTGTCATCATCATCATCATCATTAAAGAGTTCTATGTTGTTAATTAAGGGGGACCAAACAAAGGGGGCAAAAAGGTATATAATAGTAGGTACCTTAGGTAATTAACTGTGCAAAAGGATGGGAGTTGGGGGCCGAAAAAAAGGCTTAAAAAAACACAATTTGCCGGGAGCCAGATTCGAACTGGCGTCTAGCATCCACTGAAGCTCCCTCGCTGTGGCTGGCATCCACATTACCTATGGTGTCTAACATCCGCGTTTGGGAGATCCAGTGAGTGTTCCAGTGCAAGTTCCCGGAATCATACCACTAGACCACCCCAGCTTTGAATTGTTAAAATTGGTACTGCAATTCTACCTTATAACCCTATCGCTAGGGAAGGTACCCGGGCCGGCTGTTGCCCTGGAGATGCCGGGTGAACGGCGGGATTCGAGGGGATAAAGGGATAATACGGTTGCCTGGCAGGCAAATGCGTTGCGGATATCACAAGGTACACATGTCTATCTCTTATAATGCGTACTGTATCTTTAGATAACCTTTATAATACGCCGGCTCTTCAGACCACCATAATAACCACTTTCCAGGAATCTGATAGACACGGGATATTCTAATACATGGCAATGACGCCCGTGTCGGAATCCTCGGACTCAATTGGAATATCTAGCACGTGCGTGACCAAAAGGTATTTGCCATTATCATCCGAGCCTGGCTTTGGTACAAAGACAATGTGATTCTGATAGAAGAGTATGTGGAGAACTTTGCAGGGGAACAACTCATTCCCGATGGCATGATATGGAACTCTTAGAGCGCTTTCAAGAGTGCGGCAATACTGCAAGGCGTCAACCTGGTGTCATATGCGGATAGATTGTCGGTGGGTAAGACGGAAGAGGTTCGCTTTCTACAAGTAGGGAGGATGGACCAACGATCAGGAAAAATAGGGTACGGAGAGTCTATGGAATAAGATTAATATCAAAGCTTAGAGAAGAGAATTCTATTACGAGGACTAGCCTTTGGTGTAAGAAGGCACGTGGAAATAGTATTGTCCAGGCGGGATAACAGGTATCAGATAGATTCAAAGACGTGGAGATGAACAGTTCAGTGGAACGTTGTCCATCAATCTCAGTCCAGATATACATACAGTAAGAGGTTATCGTACTCCTATCTTATACCCCAGCTACGACACTTCCCTCACTCCTGCCTGGCCTAGAAACACCGCTAGCACCATCGACGTATCTCTAACTCTAGCCCCGCTATCGACAAGCCAATGCTTGAAAGAAATTCATAAAGGATCTCTGTACTCCGTGATCTGTACTGGCCACCCTTGTAGTTCAGGGGGAGGAATGTGTCTGGTTGGACCACCTTCTAATCCCCTCACAAGAGAGAGGAGTTTGGCATCCCAACGATTGCGGTCCTCACTTTGAACGACATAATCGACGGCATGGATCCAAGTGCTCCGGAGGAGGACACGAAAAGAATGGTTGAATATAGTAACGAGCATGCAGCTTACAGCTGAAGTTGAAGCATCTCTGAATGCGAATAGTCCAACTCGTGAGTTCGATTCCTCAGCATACCAAAAAGAAACTTGCGGTACCATCTTCTAACTATGCTTAATAATACAGGGACAACAGGCTACTCCGTGGGAAGGGTTAACCCCTTCCCCTATAACACCAGCTGGGAAATCCAGCAGTGAAATATGGAGCCACAAGAGCGTGGATATGGCCGAATCAGCAGGTAGTGATCGCATATCAGGGAATGTTAAGCCCTTAGAGGCAAGGTTTGGCTTCACAAGGAAGGGAAATACCATTTCAGGTATCATGTATACTAGTGTTAGAGTACCAGTGCTTGCCACGTCCCATACCCCCAGGGAGGTTGCGGCGAGGGGCTCACGCCCCTCTCGCTCAGACGTTAAACAATACAACAACAACAACAACAACTATGCTTAACATCAGTTGCTGATTCTTATTCATTGGTTTCACATTTTTAAAGTATTTAATGTAAGGTACCTATATTTAAACTTAGGCGATTGTATGAGAAGCTCGCACTAATGTGCCACATGTAACAGGCGTTTGGCTTGGGCTGATAGGGGGGATTTACAAAACCTTAACACAGCCACCTTGTTGAGGGCGACTCACTATCTAGAATACCTCAAAAGGCTTCCCGTCTAGCACCGGACTGGTTTACTCCTCACTCTCACAACGATCATTCTCGCCTCCATTTCCCAAGACGATTCCTCAGCGGTAATCCAAGTTACACCACTCCAGACCTGAAGAATATCAAGGAAACATCGCTGTTCGGCGTCATCAAGACTACCTACACTAATCCTCACCACGATAATAGCATCACCCACATAATGGAAGAGTGTCTCGCCGGATGCTGTGCAGAAATCTGTGGAAGGGGCATAATCAAAGGCCTAGCAACTGGCATCTGCTATATTATCGACAAGCTAATCGTGCAGCGACGGGAGCTTGTGGTGCGGCTCGGTCGCGGGGCGCAGAGGATATTACACATTCCCGAATGTCTATGCGTTTTCATCGAAGAGGAACTCGGCATGCTAGATTCCGACATACGGATGACCGGCACCTTACTGAGTTTCACATACCTCATTGCGGGCCTCGCGGTCGTTGTCCGCCCCGCCGGGGCTGGGGGTGATCTTTGGGGTCCTTGGATCTGCATTTTCGGCATCTCTTTCCCGCTAGGCATGTCGCTGTTGGCCTGGTTTATGCTCCTTTTGTCGAAGAGGAGACGGCTGTCTGGAACGCCACGGGAAGCAGGCAGCAAGATAGGAGACAGATCATTAGAGGAGGACGTTAACTTCTTTTGGAGCACAGCTTTTTAGATCGTATATCCTACCCCCTCCTTCAGCTTATTCCGTCCCGGGGTCCCTCTATTTCTGCGCCACCGTTTTGTCTCTCGAAAACCCCCAGCGGATCTGATTCGCGACGTGGATCTGCACGCCCAGCTCCCCCGCCCACCTCCAGACGAGCCCCGGCTCCTTCTGGAACATCCTGCCCACGGCCGTCACGTCCAGCGGCTCCTCGCCGCCCGCGCCCTCGAGCAGGTCGTTGGCCTGCTTCCCCGTTACGATCCGGCCCACCGTCGACACGAGCGCCCGCTCTCCCACCGCCTTCTTGATCTTCCTCGCGAACGGCGCCTGGTAGCTCGGAATATCCTCGATCTTCTGCGCGGCGTGCAGACCCCCCGAACTGACGTCAATAAGATCGACACCCCGGTCGACGAGCATAGGCGCGAGCCGTACGGAGTCCTCCACCGTCCAGCTGGGACCGTCGTAGTCGGTATTCTCGAGCCAGTCCGTGGCGCTGATGCGCACGAACAGCGGCATGGTGTCGGGAATGATGGCGCGCGTCAGCTCGACGACTTCCAGCGTGAGCCGCACTCTGTTCTCGAAGCTGCCGCCGTACCTGTCGGTCCGCACGTTGCTGGCGGGCGACAGGAACTGGTGCAGCAGCCGGCCGTGCGCGCTGTGGACCTCGATGACGTCAAAGCCGGCTTTCAGGGCTCGCCTAACGCCGGCGGCGAACGCCGTCTTGAAGTCTTCGATGTCCTCGAGCGTCATCGCCTGCGGCATCGGGTAGCCCTTGGCGTACGGGATCGCCGACGGCGCCTTCACCTTGTCCGGCCAGCCGCCGACCTCTTCCGTCGCGATGGCGCCCTTGCTCAGCCACGGCGCGACGGTGCTCGCTTTTCTGCCTCCGTGGCCCAGCTGGATGCCCATCTTCTGCCCCTGGGAGTGCGCGAAGTCGGTGATCCGCTTCAGGGGCTCGATATGGCTGTCGAGCCAGATACCCGAACACTGAGGTGTGACACGGCCCTCGGGTAAAACTGCCGTGGACTCTATCATCGCCATTCCGGGACCCCGGGAGATGATGCCGCCGAGGTGTGCAAAGTGCCATAGCGTGTGGTGGCCGTTCTCAGCTGAGTACTGGCAGAGCGGAGAGAGCATGATCCGGTTCTGCATAGTGAGACCACGGATCTTGAGCGGGGTGAAGATTTTGGGTACAGGCCTTCCATCGGGTTGCGGGTTGGCAGCAGTTCCCGATGGATAGTTCTGCACTGGTGTAAAATAAGAGACCTGATGGATATCAGTCGGCGCTTCTAGGGAGAGAGAAGGAGACATACGCCAGGGGCACCGGGGCTCGGGATTGCTATTTGGTGAGGCTTCTCGTCTTCGGAGAAGACCTCTTCGGTTTTGTGGGGAGACATCGTTGCGTCAAATCTAGTTATCCAAATACGATATTATTGGTTCGAAAAGAAGATATCCTTCCCGGGATAGAGGTTGTCTTGGCTTGTATTTAATAAGATCTTCCAGAGCGCAACGTACGACAGACATCACTTCACCCACGACAGAATCAGATTTTCCAGAAGCCGTCGGTTAGAGGAATAAGAATGACCAATCAAAACACCTAACCAGCGGAGGAGTTTGGTTCTGTACCTATATCAAGGATGCCGTGGAGCTGTCCGGCATGTTTCCCGCTAGACGTTGACCGGTTAGTGGCAAAACAAGTCCGACCTTATCTTGGTTATCTTCTTCTTGCTCCGTAGTTGTCGGACGTCTAACCGGTTTGGAATACTGTCGGCTACGAGATAACAGCGAAACGCCTCTATCGTCCGATCTTATAAGATAAAAGATAACCCTCACGGAGAACTGCGAAATTCTCACTTCCGATCATCACTAGCAACTTCTTAGCTCGTGATAGTCCCCTTGTGGAGGTCGCTTAGTTGGCTAGTAGAAGATAATGTTATTTTTTGCCTATAAGACAGGTTATAGACCTAATAAACCTATCCAGGCCTGACATCCCGAGCAGAGCAGTCTAGAGAAGGGTTGTCCGCGGGGGAATTCTTCATGAAATCTGACCGCACCTCGATGGAAAATAATTTCAGTCTCCAGCGTGCCGTGTAGAACAGACCCCGTCTCCGAAGTCCGAACCTCGTGTCCTGCGACCTACGTCCAAGATGATCGAAAAAACGGTGTACCCCGATGTCCAAGACATCACCCAAGAGAAGGATGTCGCCAGTGAGGGCAGCGCCGACCATGTCTACATCGACCCTGAGCTGGAGAAAAAGGTCGTGAAAAAGCTGGACATGTACATTGTACCGGTTTTCATGATCTGCTACCTCTTCAGTTTCCTGGATCGTTCGAACCTCGGAAACGCCAAAATTCAAGGCTTGGAAAAAGACCTGCACCTCAGAGAGACGGATTTCAACGGTACCTACATATTTCCGTTTTGCCTGGCTTTCTGAGAGCCACGAGTTAATTCTCTCGCAGTGGCTACGTCCATCTTCTACGTCACGTATGTCGTCTTCGA